TGCTGAAGTGAAACCAACAGTTTATATCCAAAATGAAGCATTTAGCATGTGGAAATTGAAAAAAAAGAAGGTGGTTACACAAAAATACTAACATAGACAAAAAAAAGAGTTTATTTTTCTTCCCAATCTCTGTTCAAAACAAAAACGGCATTAAGCTTTTTTATTATCATCTTATTTTTCTCAGTTTAGACAATGAAAAATACAATCAAATCTCAAGGCACTTTAAGGAGATTTGACATAAAAATAGCAATAAATTAGCCAAATGTGCAACTTCACGTAGAAACAAATGCCCTTCTACATTCTCAGAAAAAAAGGTACAAAAGCTGTTACTGAGCCGGTATTTTTTGTACCTCTTTTACCTGTAAAGTTGCATATTGGTACTTTAAAGGTACATATTAGCACCAAAACTGTACATATTAGTACCTAAATTAGCACCTTTTAAAAGGGTACCGCCCCAAGAATAGTTTTTGTACCTTTTTTTTTTCTCCCTGAGACTAGCAGTAAACTGATTCTTATGGTTGTCGATTGTCTAATACATTAGATAAGACTTGATGAAACCCCTAAGTGTATGAGTGAGAGCAAAACATCCTGCTATTGTACATCTAATTTCCTCAATCTAATTCCTTTTCATGGCATCACAGAAGCAAAGTGATACAATTAATTGATTGTTTTGTAACAGTTCCCTCCTGAACAATGCAGTCTGAACAAAACATTTTTTTCACTTCACAACAAATCAAACCCTATGAGAACTTGCGTGCTATGTATGTAATTTGTTCTGATCCTTAAGTCTTTGTGACTGATGGATGGATTCGAGTTGATTGAGTCGCTTTAAAACCCATCGATCGGAGAAATGGCTTCCCCGATAAACACATGAAATCTTTGGCAATGCAGAGACAATTAGAGACATTTGCATAAGACATAATCAGGAATGCATAAAATATTTCACCGAACAGCTCATACATCAAAACAGTATTTTAAAGTGCACCACATCATTGACAATCCCTTCAATAATTAAATCTCCCTTTTTATCAATCACTGCAAATCTACATAACACCCTTTTTAGATTTTAGACTAATACTACAGCAAGTGAGAAGCTCTCGAAACAGTGAGTCTGGTTGATTACTCCATAAATATCTGCACTGAGGGATCAATACAAGCAATATCTTACATCATAGCTGCTCTGTTCAGTGGCTTCAGTTTCAGTGTAGCACAACATTTGGAGTCAAAATTGATGAAACCGAGCTGCCGTCCGCCAGCTGATGCTTCACCTGAGCAGTTTCCCAATCTGAGGTTTAGACCACACCATTCCTGAGGGCTGGTGGATGGTGGAGTTGGCGCCACAGTCGATGTAGCGGTAAGCCTCCAGAGTGTTCTGTGCCGCCCGCACCATGTAGGAGGTTTTCACAGAGGTCCTGGGGTGTATAAGAGAAGCGGTCAGGACTATTTCATAAGAATCTAGAGGAAAACCCTACATATACTCAGACAAAGCAAAAGGCACAAATGAGAAAACGGTTCTTAAGGACCACATTTACTGTGGCTTGACAAAATTTCACAGGCAAAATCCTGTCATTTCCGGAGTAATCCATGCGATCTGTAGCTGTGCATGAGGGTGAAAGATTTCCCCTTGTAGATTTTGTTTTCAAGTTGGTCATAAAAATCAGTGGCATTGACCTTTTTCACCTGTGAACTTGCGCAAATGTGACCACACCTTTATGCTTCACTTCACCTCCAATTTTCAAATGTAGGAAAACAGCAAAAGACAAAAAGGATGAGAAAATGTAGTGATGAGAAACTTACTGCATGAACACCACAATGTTGTGGACCTTGATGCTTGCCATGGTGCAGAAGGCACTGAGAAAACAGTTCAAAAACAGAAGATCAGACACACAGATTCATGAGATCAACTCGTTCATCCAAAGAGAACTGATTTGATACTCACTAAACGTAAGAGAGACTTCCTCCAATCTCCATGCTGACAGTGAAGTTGACCTGCATTAAAAAAAAACGTTACATACTCTACAACAGCACAACTACTATCTAGTACTCAACAATCTGTGTCTTTTCTCCCATAAATTGATCAGAAGTGACAGTACAGATATTTATAATGTCACAAAAGATGTCTATTCCAAATAAATTATGTTCTTTTGAAATGTAAAGCTGAAATTTACTCATCCTCAGGTTGTCCAAGATGTAGATGAGTTTGTTTCTTCATGAGAACAGATTTGGAGAAATGTAGCATTACATCACTTGCTCAGCAATGGATGCTCTGCAGTGAATGGGTGCCGTCAGAATGAGAGTCCAAACAGCTGATAAAAACATCACAATAATCCACAAGTAATCCACACCACTCCAGTCCATCCGTTAACGTCTTGTGAAGTGAAAAGCTGCATGTTCATAAGAAACTAATTCAATGCTTTAAACCATTGCTTATGGCTAAAGTAATCCACAATCCATAATAACGCTTCCACTAGTGAAATAGTCCATCCCCTGTTGTTTTCTCACATCAAAATCCACTCACATATTTGTTTAGAA